ATCTTTGACCTGTAGTTTGTGACACATGCCCTTGTGACTGTCACAATGAAAGATGCAAGACTGACAGGTTTGGGTTAATTTAGTAGAGTGATTGAATATATCAGATAGAAGAGCATGGATTTCCCTATATGGTATAATACATATATGGACCTAACCATGACCTTTTCTTGAGAACTTAGGTAATAATTATCATAAGTAAGTGTAAGTCAGTCGGTCTATGTTTTATGGACTGTGATTGACAAATCTATAGGGCTTTATAAATCTTCCTATAAAGTGTGGACCACAATTATCACTGAAAAGCAAGGAATAAGAACCTAGGAATGAAATCTTATAATGTACATCAATTTGTAAAATGTTATTGTGTCAGCATGTACACATGAATAAGAGCATGCTTATATCTATCTGAAAAAGATACAGTGAAACATTTATATCAATAGCCCTTTACCTATACAAAATTAATCTAGGAGAGGCTGATTTTCTTTTTTTTGATTTGGCAGTTTTTCCAAAATGTGTGTGTAAAAAAAGATAGTAGCTCTTCTAACACTGTAAATCTACTTCTAAAATAGCATGCCAAATATACCTAAGTATATTTTCATTCCTTATTTTATTAGGTGAGGGAGTATGTCTTTTGTGTTATTTTCTAGCCATCTGAAAACTGCCAAAGATGATTTGGGTGTATAAGACAATGGGACAATTTAGGGTTAAAGACAATTTAGGGTTAGGCCAGGCATGGTGGCTCATGCCTCTAATCCCAGAACTTTGGGAGGCTGAGGAGGGAGGATTGCCTGAGGCCAGGAGTCTCAGACCAGCCTGGTTGACATAGTGAGACCCCGTCTCTACAAAAAATAAATTGATAATTGATTAATCCATTTAGGATAAAATTTGGGGGAAGAAAATAGTTAAAGAGACTACTAGAGGAAATCAGCTGCTTAATTAAAATTAGAAAATAGACACCTAACAGCAAGAAACAGTTTTATCCATGGATACCTCATTAACTATAGTGACAATGCAATATTTAAAATAAACATAGCAGCAAGAAGCACGACGATAAATAAAAATTTAGCTCTTCCTGAAATTAACAGTCTGTGAGCACAAGAGGTAGCACAAAAGGGTACGAATAACCTTGTGTGGATTGAAAGTGTACATGAAGGTGAGGCATATTAAACCTTTCGCCATCATGATAGAATATGTGAAATATAAATAATAGGTATATGCCGGGCATGGTGGCTCAAGTCTGTAATCCCAGCACTTTGGGAGGCCAAGGCAGGTGACTCACTAGAGGTTGGGAGTTAGAGACGAGCCTGGTCAACATGGCGAAACCCCGTCTCTACTGAAAATACAAAACACCGGGCATGATAGTGCATGCCTATAATCCCAGCTACTCGGGAGGCTGAGGACTTGAGCCAGGGAGGCGGAGGTTGCAGTGTGCTGAGAAAGCACCATTGCACTCCAGCCTGAGTGACAGAGGGAAACTCTGTCTCAATAAATAAATAAATAAAATGATAATAATAAGTTTATATAACCTCATTGTGAGGTCAGATTACATATTCTAAAATCATTATTCATTTTAGTTATTTAATCCTCTTTATTGTTCCTAAACTACTCTTATTTAAATTAATGTACCATCATATGTGTATATTTAAACACAGACCCAAATACACACACATGAATACATATCATAGAAAGGTGTAAATATGAGCTTTAAAGTACAATTAACCTCTTAACATATTAGTAGAGGATACATATACAATATTGATTTTACTATTTTATTTTGAGCTTTATACGAATACTTTTATACGTAAGAATCTAAATAAAAATTGTTAATTGGAATTTGGTACGTTTGGTGCTTTGTGTTTATGAATTCTGATTTTCTTAGGAATTGTCCAGATATCCAAAAAAATTTATTCATTATTTTCAAGGTCTCAAAGTCAATTACAGAACTAAGAAATTAAATTTAGGTTGACATTAAAGAAAAATACAATCACTGTTGGTATTAGAATTTTGGTTTCATGCAAGCCAGGCTTAGTACCTATGTGATAGGTTGACAGGTGCAGCAAACCACCATGGCACATGTTTACCTATGTAACAAACCTGCACATCCTGCACATGTACCCTTGAACTTAAAACAAAGAATTTTGGCTTTACAATATTACAGTGAAAACACTTACAGAGTCCAAATAGAATTACTGTATACCCACATATTTTGTGGTTTTACCTGAAGTTTGAGAGAACCAATAGTTTTGCAAAGACATGGCTTATTATAATTCAGTTTCTCATTATTACCTTAAACATTTAATGGGAGTAACGTTAGCTTACCTGAGCAGTGAAAACAGTACACAGAAAATTTAGCAAGTTCAGCTTAATTAGTCTTTTTATGAGAAAATAATCCCAAACCATGCAAATAGCTTGGGAAAGGACAAGTGGGAAGCCTATGTGGGATGTGAGTGCCATAAAGCAGAGATGTCCACATATATTTTTATCACCACTGTAAAAAAAAAAAAAAAAAAAAAATTGACATCTCCCAATTGTTCGATATTTTTATAAAATATATAATACATTACAGTATTTATCTGCATTTAACATATTTACAAGTAGAAGCTTATAAAATAAATCAAAATGAAAGAAATTGAATTTTAAACATTTACTTTCTATGTCCCACTACATCATCTGGGTACCCATAGGTCTCTGTGGAGACCATTTCTCTATTACCAATTTAGATATTCCAGTCTGCTACTTAAAGCACTAAATGGTTCTCTCTTAAACTCTATAATGCTCAACTTTAGGCAAATCGTGCCAAAACAGTTCCCAAAATGTGAGTTCCAACTTACATTTCTGTAAAAAGTGTATGAACCTTCCAATTGCTCCTTATCCTTACCAATATTTGGTATTTTCACTATTTTATATTTTGGTATGTTTATGTTCTACAACCATTGTTTTTTTAGAGCACTTTTTAATACCAAAGAAAATAAAACTAATGTCAACAATAATAAAAAAGCAACTCTTTAGAGTAGAGTCTTTTCATTCTGAATAGCAATATTTCTCAAGGTCTTGTGACTTTATAGAACACAGTTTATCAGCTCTCTGTTCTTGATGTTGCTGTATTTCAATAAACAATTATACTTAGTATTATGTCCTTGTTACACATTAGCAGAATTTGTCCCAAATTTTGCAGAATTTTTCATGAACAGAAGTGGTTTTTATAGAATTGCAATATTAAGAAGCTTTGGGCTTTGAAATTATATCAGAGCTCTTGAGATAACTTGCTATTAGAAATCACATGAATAAACAAGTGGGACTACATCAAACTAAAGTTTCTGCACAACAAAGAAAATAGTCAACAGAATGAAAAGGTAACTCATGGAATGGGAGAAAATATTTGCAAACCATGCATCCAATAAGGAGTCAATATCCACAATTAGAAACTTATAAAATTAATACCCACAACAAGAAACTTATAAAATGCAATGTCAAGAAAAAACTAGCAAGTAACCTGATTTTAAAAATGAGCAAAGGACCTGGGTAGTAATTTTTCCAAAGAAAACGTACAAACAATCAAAAGGTACATGAAAAAACTGTAGTTAATAATACGTAATGTATATTTGAAATTTGCTAACAAAGTAGATCTAAAGCGTTCTCATCTCACACGAAATGGTAACTATGTGAGGTGATGGATATGTTAATTGGCTTGATTGTGGTAATCATTTCACAGTGTACACATATATCAAATCATCACATTACTCATCTTGAATATATATAATTTTTGTCAATTGTACAAAGAAATCATATGAGACATTTCAAGACCAAACTAGACAGACATTAATCTGGGAGAGATCAAAATACTTTGTAGGTAAAAGAGCCTCAGGAGGAGGCACTGACCACCAGTTCCTTTTACTTCTATAAGAGCTAATCAAAATTTTCTTACTTGCCCAAAAATGCATTTCTATCCATTTTTGCATTATTATACATTTTGAGGTAATTTCGTGGGTGCAAAAAGTTTACAATTGTCATATATTAAAAACAATGAAGAAAATGTGGTAAAAATAAGTTGAATAGCAGATGAAACCAAAATTGTCAGTTTTATTAAGAGGGGAAGATAAATTGCAGGACTTTGCTTGTGAGAGTGAAATGATGAAGACGCAGAGAGCCCTCAAATTATGCTGCTTTGAGCTTTCTTCACAGTGAAGTAAATATCAGGAGTAGGTAAGGACGTTGGGAATTCTCTGCTTGTATTCTTTGCCCCTTTCTCTACTTTGTTGTTCATTTCTTAATTATTGAAATGTAAGAACTAGCTTGGGTATATTTTTGTTTATGCAATCATATGGGCAATCAAAAGCACTTGAAAAGCACTCCTAAGTTTGCGACTGATTTTTTAATTTGGCCTATGGTGATTTTACTCTTAATACTTTTTTTTTTTTTTTCGATTTCAGTATAATCACATTTTGTTTGAGGATTTTTCTTTGGAAATGACCTAAGGAAAGAAGTATAAGAAACTTGAATAAAAGGAGAGATATATTATGTCCCAGGTTCAGATTCAAAATTGTAAAGAATTAATTCTACCTAAAATAAAGTATTAATTCACTGTAATCCAAATTAAAATACTTAGCGTATTTGTGTGTGTGTGTGTGTGTGTGTGTGTGTGTGTGTGTGAAGTTTGGCCAGTAGGTCTTAAATTTCCCAGAAATAAAGTACAAAAGAGGATCAGAAAAAATACATGTAAGGAACATTTTAACCACAACTTTATTGTATGAAAAAAAGATTTGCTGCTGCTTCTTTTTTTCCCCATGAAAACACCTATCCTAGGGGGTTGAATGGAAATTGAACAGACATAGGTTACCATTACACTTTAAAGTACTTTAAGAGGAACATTTCTTCCCTTTAACTGTATTTCGGTTTAAGTTGGTCATTTTTCTCCTAAATGAAGGAAGAACCTCGTGCTTTCCCCATCACGGAGAGGGGGCGGAGCATCCTCTAGGAGCTTGGAAGCAAGCTGCGCCCAGCCTGTCTTCGGGGAGGAGCTGCATTACACACAGGCTTCGGAGGCTTCCGTGGAGAAGCTTGGAGGTAATGGCTGTCGTAAATGCTAGTTATTTTCAGAGAGTTCTCGAAGATTTGGAATAAAGGTGAGAAAAGAAGAGAGTGCTGCGTAGGAATAACGGGAAAGGAGTGTCGTTTTGTGAGAGTCCCTGTTTCTGTGAGGGAATTAATATCTGTGTTTTGTGTTCCTTCAGATTATCTTAAAAGTCCACAGTCGGAGAGGTGGTAATCAACATTACACCTGCGGAAAAATATTCTTAAAGAGGTAGCAAAAGCTAACTTTTTAATAGAGCATTTTGTGTTTCCATCAAAAGGCAGTGGTGGCTGAGATAAATGATGAAACAAAACTTGGGAGGTTAATTTTCCTTATTTTGAAAAAGGTTACAATAGTCTTAAATGGAAAATTAAATTGTTGGTTGGGTATGTTGGTTTTTTATATTACTTTGAATGTGTTGATTGTGTTTCTAACAAATCTTACTGTTTTGGTGGAGTATGTTAGTAATTTAAAGTAATGAATAACTGTACAAATTCGAGTATCTCTGAGAATTAGTAGTTTGGTTATTAGTCAAGGGATACACAATAACTTAATATAATAGCTTTTTAAATAATGTGCAAAATATGATCTTTGTATTTCTACTTATCTGTCAAGAGAATTGTACATTCCTATTTGTACTGCAATAGAAAAAAATCTAAAAGATCATAACAATAACAGACATACCTTAATATAATAAAACACAACAAACAATATACTTAGTAATAAAGGATGCCTGATAAAAAAGGATGTTAGGGGAAAAAGGAGGAAATTTTCCACTTCTTTCTTCCACATTTTACTTAGCATGTAGTTCCTATGTCAGCATAGAAACTGAGATGAGAACTTAAAATCATGGGGGAAAAGCTACTTTCCCCAAAATAGTGTAAATTCATATAAACAGGGAAAGGTGTTCAAATATGTGGCTAAATAAATGTAATTTCAAATAGTATATTCAAACATGTATGTGATGAGGAAAAAAATTAAAAGGATTAGACTCAAATGTACGCCGTGAACAACTCAGTTTGAGTACTGATGATGTGTATTTTCATCTTTAGATTTTTATGTACTTTTAGATTCTTTTGGAAATGATAGTGGAGCTGAAAAGGGAATAATCACTTTTGTTACAGGCACTTGAGCGAATAGCTACACACACATTCCATTGTCTTTAGCTGCAGTAGGATTTTTCTGTGGGTCTGAGAAGGCTCATTACCTGATTGTTTGTGCTTTTCTTGCAATTCAACTATTGAGGCTATAGTCCAGACTCTGATTCAAGCAGAACATATTTATCTTTATACTCCTGAGGAATAATTCATAAAATGTTTTAAACATATTGTGATATAGTCATATAGTATAGTATAGTATATTATATCTATAATGTTGAATACTATGCAGCTGTAAAAGGAATGAGCTAACTCTAAATGCAATGATTAGAATAAATGTCCAAGGTGGTTTCTAAAAATAAGCAAATTGAAGAATGGCCTGTATCATGTACTCCTATTTGTTTACCAAAAACAAAATGTGCATGCATTAGTACAGCGTATGCAATAAAAATCTGTAAATATACATACCACTTTATTAATTGGAGACATAAGTGTTCTTGTATCTCCACACATATCTCCAATTAATAGAATATTTTAACCTTCTATCTGTTACATTTCCCCATTTTAAAAATTTCATTTTGAAAAGAGCAAGCCTGAATAATTTTCATCAAGAGAAAAACAAAATTTTAGAAATGTGGAAAGAATTTTGTAAAGCAATTCACAAAAGGATGATATGGAAAATAATTATTGATATGGAAAGATGTTCAAATATATTACTGGAGGAATAAAGGGTCTAGTTTCAAAAAGCTTCCACATTGATAAGTATCTACAGAAAAAAATCTAGACATATACAGAGCAAACCGTTACATTTTGACCATTGTTGTGGAGATTTCCTTTCTTCTTTGGAAATCCAAAAGATGTAGAAATATATATACAATATGCATGAGATATATTATAATGAAAAATATTAAAACGAGAACATTATGATCCCACTTTTGTATAACACATGCACAGAACTCTTCAACTGAGAATGAAAAATTCTAGAAGCCTGAGTGTCTGCAGTTCTAGTTCTGGTCACAAGATGGTGCTTGCCAGGTTTCCTAAGCTTTGTCCAGGCAAATATTTTTATGAAGTGGACAAAGCAGTGAAATGTGTTTTGTATTAGCCGACTATGAGACAGCATGTAGAGTGTGATTGAAATTCCATTCAAAATATTGTAAATATCTAGAAGAAAAATCCCCACCAATAACTGACATAAAGACTCACACAGAAATCATAAAAAATGCTGCTACATAGAGTCTGGCCCATAGTAGAAACAAGTCAATTGTTCTTTCCCTTCTCTCTTTTCTCCACCTCATAATTTTCCTGAAGGATATTATTTTAGCAGGAATGAAATAACATAACTGACCCAGAGAGCATTTCATATTGTAATAACATGAAGGAAAACAGATGGCATCTACATTGCAGATGAGATTTCACCTCATTCCTGTGTTTTGGAATGACATGCTTGTTAGAGTTTAGGTAGGGAAATTTATTTACACCTTTTCCATTTCGTTGGTTTGATTCCCTGCCAGCCGAGCCCCAGAAGGACAGTTCAACCACAGAAGTGCCGAGCCAGGTAAAGACCCTGCTGGACACGCAGTTGGAGTGAGACTCAAGACAGCTGGACCACAGGACCAGACCCACCAGGATCCACGTGACAGTGGGTAAGACTCTTCCCATTTCACAAAACATTTCACGGTATAAACATGTTGAGAACTTGGAGAACAATGTATTTTGCTTCCTGCTCTACAGCCATCATAGCATTTTAAATTAAAAGCCACATTTCATGTAAGGATCATGATAGGTTGAGAATTTGGGGTATACTTCATTTTGTTTCCTGTTCTACAGCTATCATATTTGTAATTAAAAGTCATAACTTCTAATTTTCGGAAAGAACCTTATATATTATACCACTATGAAGAAATCATGCAAGAGGCTATTCAGGTGTCTCCCTGAGGACTGACTCTGTAGTCCTTGACAACTATGTTAGGTTGTCATACCATAAACTAGATAACATAGTTTTAAAGGTTTCTTAGAACCTGCTTAAGGTCTCACCACCTTCTTGAATCACCTGTACAGTCATGCATGGCTTAACGACAGGGACATATTCTGAGAAATGCTTCAACAGGCGATTTTATCTGAGAACATTACAGAGTGTACTTGCATGAATTTAGATGGTATAGCCTACTACACACTTAGGCTATATGGTATAGCCTATTGTTTCTATACCACAACCCTGTGTACCATGTTACTGTACTGAATACTGTAGGCAGTTGCAACACAATAGTATTTGTATATCCAAACGTATCTAAATATAGAAAAGTTACAGTAAAAATATGACATAAAAGACAAAAAACAGCATACCTGTATAGGGGAATTACCATGAATGGAGCTTGCAGGACTGGAAGTTACTTTGGGTGAGTCAGTGAGTGAGTGGTGAGTGAAAGTGAAGGCCTAGAACATTATGTACACTACTGTAGACTTGAACACTTAGGCTACAGTAAATTTATTAAAACAAATTTTCTTTCTTTAATGATAAATTAACCTTAGCTTATGGTAACATTTTACTTTATAAATGCTTAAATTTTTAAATCTTTTAACACTTTGGTAATAATACCTTAAAACACTAACACATTGTACAGCAGTAAAAAAAAAATAAAATAACTTATTTCTTTATATCCTTGTTCTATAAGCTTATTTTCTATTTTTGAAAATTTTTTATTTTTTTTTTGTTTTCAAACTTTTTTTGGTTAAACACCAACACACACATTAGCCTAGGCCTACGCAGGGTCAAGATCATCAACATCACTGTCTTCCATTTACACATCTCGTCCCACTGGAAGGTCTTCAGGGACAGTAACACTCATGGTGATGTTGTCTCCTAGAATAACAATGCCCTTTTCTGGAATACCCCCTGAAAGACCTGCTCTTTGGCTATTTGACAGTTAACACTTTTTTTTCTAAGTAGAAGGAATATACTAAAATAAGATTAAAAAGTATAGTATAGGAAGTACATAAACCAATAGCAGTCATTTATTATCATTATCAAGTATTAGGTACATCATATAATTGTATGTGCTATACTTTTATGCCACTATCAGTGTAGTAGGTTGTTTACACCAGCATCACCACAAACAGGTGAGTCATGAGTTGTGCTTCAGTGTTACAATGGCTGTGACCGACATCACTAGGCAACGGGAATTTTGCAGCTTTAGTATAATCTTACAGGAACATCGTCATATATGCAGTTTGTCATTGACTGAAATGTCACTATGCACCACATGACTATATTCTCTTAATATTTTGTAGTGGTTTGACAAACTTAATTCTTTCCCAGCAACCGTCACAAATCTGTGCCTCGTTAACGTTGTGCTCTCAGTGAGATTGTTGATGCTGAGCCTCATTGTGTCCGTGAGCTCTCCTTTGGTTACCTTGGATAGACAGGGCAGTAGTGGCAGCTTAGAAAAGATTAGAACCCAGCATTCACTTATGATAACTCAGAGGGTTGCAAAAGGTCAAATTATCCAAGAACAAAAACAATGTCCCTGATACCGCCAAAGCTCTTCCCACACAATTCCCTTTTTATTACACAACAGAGAAAATAACGATGGGATATTGCGTTTGTGTTATACTTCTCTTTTTTTGTACCCCCCCAAATATATTCCACATATCTAAAACCACCTAACTGATACCCATTATTCATTCTTCTGACTTGTATCTTGTCTATATTCTGATCGTCTACCTTCGTCCTACTTACGAAAGTAAATTTTTTATGTGATCTCTTTTCTTCTTTGCCATGTTTTAATGCAATCCAATTATCACCCATTGAAAATACTTTGTTCAAGCTACTTTGTGAAGGTTCAGGGGGATAAAAGAGGCTACAACAGACCAGAAACGTTTACTATCCCCAGAGCAATAGAATGAGCCTTCTTAAAAAACAAAAACAGAAACAAAAACAAACAAGAAACGGCTTTTCTAGACCAATAGGTAGCTAAAACTCTTTTTATTATTATATTTTTAAATATATTAATGGCTTAATATTTAATATTTGGACAATCTAGGTTAATATAGAGATACAGGTGACCCATGCATCCTTGCTGACTATGCTATCTAGGATATGGGAGATGACAACCTAGCATTGTTGTTTTCTCTCCACTGAGCTAATAAAGGTTTCAAACCCGCACTGTCTGATTTTTTGGCTGGCTGTCTGAAAACTTAAGAAACATAACCCTGTCATAATGCCTTGGTGATAAACTCTTAAAAGCTAAACACTGGGTCCTGCCAACAGAAATCCGTATCTGACCAAAGAACTCTGTGTCATTTTAAATATGGTTACCAGGAAAATTTTGACCCAGGCTGACCCTTCTGTTATGAGTCTCTGAAAGAATGATGGCTTCTTTCTTTAGAGTCCCCAACGCAGACAGTTTTCTTTTTTTCCATTTCATCATTACAAGAAGAGATGTGTCAAATGCAGCTCTGTGTCTCTAACCTAAATAGCGAGAATGTGGCAGGAGATGTGTTTACCCACTCACTGTGATAATAAATGGGGCTATGAGGGCCTCACCAACTTTACCTAGTTTTATGATTTTTTATAACATTATCTTAAGAGACCTAAACCTCAGAATCATTATCTATTAGCAATGTGTAGGTTTTAATGCTTCCTGGGAAATAACACCTGAACGTTAAAGGCAATAAAAGTCTAAATTTAAAGCTTAATTTTGTGAGTATGTTGCGAATAAAAAAGCCCAGCAAAAGAGGATAAAAATGCAGCTTTCCCATACTGAATTGGCAGCTGCAAACCGCAAAGCACAGGAGCAAGGAATTGCCAATTGTTAATGAGGGTAGAATGAAAATGGCACTTCTCTGTATAACGAATGATTTTCAACCCCTATCCAGGAATCACCGTATCTGAAAGGGAAGTTGCTGCCAGGCCCTATAACACATAAGATACTTCTCATAACTATCTAAGGCCAAGTGAATGCTATCATGCAGATACGGTCAGTGCAAAAGCATAGTGCAGGCCGGGAGTGGTGGCTCACACCTTGTAATCGTAGCATTTTGGGAGGCTGAGGCAGAGAGATCACCTGAAGTCAAGAGTTTGAGACTGGCCTGGCCAACATGGCAAAACCCCATCTCTACTAAAAGTACAAAAATTAGCTGGGTGTGGTGGCACATGCCTGTAATCTCAGCTACTCAGGAGGCTGAGGCAGGAGACTCACTTGAACCCAGGAGGCAGAGTGAGCCGAGATTGTGCCACTGCACCACAGCCTGAGTGAAAGAGCAAGACTGTCAAAAAGAAAGAAAGAAAGAAAGAAAATAAAAGAAAAAAAGCATAGTACATGAAAATACATTTTAATTTGTGTGGGAATGTAGATGGATGTAAGAGATAGAAAGAGGTCAAGGATAGTAAGTATGGTAGTTGCCGAAGATGGTTGTAGTTCACCAATATGTTCACAGAGACGTGAGACTAAGCAATACTCACGCTGGGGTTATTTCTTTTATTAATTAATTAATTTATTTATTTATTTATTTATTTGAGACAGAGTCTCGCTCTGTCACCCAGGCTGGAGTGCAGTGGCGCGACCTTGGCTCACTGCAAACTCGGCCTCCCGGGTTCATGCCATTCTCCTGCCTCAGCCTCCTGAGTAGCTGGGACTACAGGCACCCTCCACCGCGCCTGGCTAATTTTTTGTATTTTTAGTAGAGATGGGGTTTCATCGTGGTCTCGGTCTCCAAACCTCGTGATCTGCCCCTGTCGGCCTCCCAAAGTGCTGGGATTACAGGCGTGAGCCCCCGCGCTCGACCACGCTGGAGTTATATTCACCAATTTCCTCACAGTTCGAAAGTGAGTGACATCATCTTTGGTTCTACCAAAGAGACAGGATTCCAAGCCCAGGAGGGAGTGAATAATGGTGGAGAGAGGGCATACCTCCTGTTTTGGAATTAGACTTTGGCTCTGATTTTGTCTCACCCTCTTCCTAGTTTTGTGACCATGGTCATTAGCAAGAGTGCCCATTTCCTTGTTTCCTGGATCTCTATTAGTTGTATCATTTATTTGCTTCTTTGTCAGTCAATTTAGGTAGAAAAATGCCATCTTATTGCTGTTTTCTATTTGCATCTCTTTGATTATTAGGGAAGGTGAATATCTTTTATGTATTAATTTTCATCTTTATTTTGAATATTTGGGTTTTGAGGAGTCCCAATATATAGCACCTCCCTTTCTCCACTGAACAAACTGGATAGACAGATATAAAACAAACGGAGTTGCAGATGGAAGCTAAAATGTCAACATTAGTACAAGGGGAAGAGGAAGTTGCAGGGTATTGATTATTGTGAGAATCAAATGGCCTTATTTATTAATTATTACTTTATTTTATTTTATTTTATTTGAGATGGAGTCTCATTCTGTTGCACAGGCTATAGTGCAGTGGCACGATCTCAGCTCACTGCAACCTCCGCCTCCTGGGTTCAAGTCTTTCTCCCACCTCAGCCCTCTGATTAGCTGGGATTACAGGCACCCACCACCACGCCTGGCTAATTTTTGTATTTTTAGTAGAGTTGGGGTTTCACCATGTTGGCCAGGCTGGTCTCGAACTGCTGGCCTTAAATAATCTGCCACCTAGGTCTTCCAAAGTGCTGGGATTACAGGCGTGATAACAGAATTCCAAATTTAAGCAAACCTACCCAAATAACCTAGAGGTTTGTAGCTGTACAGGAAAGGACAGAGATTCCTGTGGTGGCACCATATGAGCTTGCTCTCAAGGAAGTAAATATTAGGAGTGGGGAAAAATTATTCTCTCAGAACATTGTGAATGGTCTATTTATGTCTTTTGCCCATTTTTACTCTAATTTATTTCTTATTAATATGTAAGAGCTACTTTAGCAATATTTTTGCATTGAAAACAGTTTTTTTCAAGTTTGTTCTATATTTTCAAATTTGGCTTATTGTGTTTTTACCAATAAGAATTTTTTTGTCTCCAATTTCAGGATATTCAGATACATACATATCTCTTTAAGGATTTTTGTTGATGTTTTATATTTAGAAATGACTTTAGTTGAAAAAACGATGAAACTTTCTGAAAGATGAATGAGAAGACCTGAATAAAAAGGGAGACATACATCATGAGCCAGGGCCAGGAGAATTAAAATTTCAGGGAATTGTTTATCCCCAAAATAATGTATTAATTCATTGCAGTACAAATAAGAATGTAGAGGGGTTTTTTAATAGAGCTTGACCAGTTGGATCTTGAAATCGTTTTTAGAAATAAGTTGCCAAAATAGGCAAGAAAAATATGTAAAAGATGTTCTTTACTGAGTCTTTATGATAAAGGCATTTCTACCTTTTTTTTACCGCAGAAAATCACCCACTCTTGTAGTTTGAATGTAAATTACACAGACACATGTTGCCATTCCGCTTTCAATTGCTTTAAAAATGATAATCTTTTCGCTTTAAGGGAATTTCAGTTTAACTTGGTGATTCTCCACCCTTTGAGGGAAAGGCCCCCTGCTATTCCCATCACTGGGAGGGGGCGGAGCCTCGTCGGAGCCGCTCCGAAGGGAGCTGTACCCGGCCGGTATTGGGGGAGGGGCAGCATTTCAAGAGGCTGCAGCTGACAAGAAGCTTCAAGGTAATGGCTGTCTCAAAGCCAGTTATTTTCTGGGAATTTCTTCGGGCCTTGGTGTTAAAGTAAAAGAAAGAAGAAAAAAAAGAAATAGAGATTGTTGCCTGACAGAGGTGGGAATGGAATATGGTTTTGTTTGAACTGCTGTTATTGGAACGGAATTAATCCTCTGGAATTTTTGTTTCGCCCGATATTTTTAAAGTCCTCCGTGTGGGAGTGGGCGATCAGATTACAGCTTCTAAATTAAGACTTCGGTAAGACGTGCTGTTCCTGTTACTTTTTTACGTGGCATTACATATTTCTACCTTTGTTACAGATTTTATTATATTTTGACTTAAACGCATTATTCTACGCAAAAAAAAAAAAAAATGATAGAAAAATGTAAACACACAAAGAGAATGATATATAGGGACACAAATATAAATGTACGTGAACATGGAAAGGGATTCAGATATGCCGTCGAGTGATAACACTTGTAAAGATGTGTATTAGTTTTCCTTAGGAAGGGAACTAAACTCCCGAGTTAAAGTCAGCATCTCTGAGTGTTCATCTCTGAGTGTTCAGATTATGGAAGTTTTTTTAAAATCTATTTTTCACTAGTTTCAGCATTTTTAGAGTTGTTTTTATTCGTGCTCATTTTTATAATAAGAGCAAAATAAAGCCAAAAGAGTTTACCCATTTTGTTTCAAATGCGTGGACACACATAGACACCGCAGACACGCTCCCATACTCCCTTGTCTTTTGCCAATAGTGGAATTTTTCCTGGACCTGATCAAGTGGGTAGCCTGGTTGCTGTGTCAACTACAGCCCTGTATGTGTCCTCCCTGCAGCCCGTCCTTTCAGTCCACAGGTACAGCCATGGTCAGCAAGAGCCACTTTTCTATATCATCTAAGTTTAAGAGTGAGAAACGGATAGGATTTGGTTTATTTCTATGAACAGTTTTAAAAGTATTATGTACTATGGTGCATCCATACAATGGCATGTTATATAGCTGACAAATGAAAGTATGAACTTGTAGTGACTTGAAAAAATGTCTGAGAAGTAAAAAGAGCAAACTGCAGAATGGTAAGCACCATGTCATTTCAACATAAAAGACTACATTAATATATGTGTAATCAAATCAGAAAAAATATAAACCAGCCTGCTAATGGAATTATTTGTTCAGTTGAAGAGATAGGGCAGGCTTTACTATCACTATTTTAAAAAAAATTCTTAATACATATTTAGTCTTTTTTTTTAAACAAAATCGGAAAAAAGATTGAGGTAAAATGTTGCAAAGTTGGGGGAAAATTGCATTTGAAGTGATTCACTAAAAAAATCACATTGAAAATACTTATTAGTATGCAAAAATGTTTAAACCATGAGCTTAAGCAGGACAAAAAGCTGATTTGAAATCATATGCATTCATATGTTTATGTAAAGAAAAAATATGGAAAGATATACAGGAAATAATATCTTTCCAGAATTACACTTTCTTTTTATATATCTTACTCATATTTTCCATTTTCAGTAACCATGCAATTATATTTCTACAATCCGACCATTGTAGGTGAAGAGATTCGGATTCCGTTTTTTATGTAATGCATAACAAAACTAAATTTGAGCATGGTATATTCTAGAAGCCTGAGAAAGCTGCTTGCTGGCAGGATGTAGTTCCCACCGTTCTCCCACAAGGATGTTGTAGTAACAGTTCTGTTTCTCATCACAAGATGGCGCTTGCAAGATATCCTAAATTTTCTCCAGACAACTATTTTTATGAAGTGAGCAAACAAAACAATGAAATGTATTTTATTATCAGACTGTGAGACAGCACGTAGAGTGTGATTCAAATTCCACTCAAAAAATTGTATATGTCTAGAAGAAAAGCCTCACTCAAGAACTGATGTGAGGACTTAAACAGAAATCTTAAAAAATGCTGCTACATAATCTGCCCCATAGTAGACACAAGTCAATTGTCCTTTCCCTTCTCTCCTTTTTCCACCTTGTAATTTTCCTGAATGATATTATCTTAGCATGAGCCAAATAACATAACCGACAAAGAGAGCATTTCATATTATAAGAACATGAAGTGAAAATAGATGGCATCTACATCACAGATGAGATTTCACCTCATTCCTGTGTTTTGGAATGACATACCTGTTAAAGTTTAGGCAGGGAAATTTATTTACACCTTTTCCATTCCATTGGTTTGATTCTCTGCCTGCCTTTATCAGAGATGCACTTGTCATGGGAAATCTGCGTGTGATGCCAGGTGAGCCTCAGAAAAACAGTGGAACCACAAAAGTGCCAAGCAGGGTAAGGGCCCTGTCAGACAAGCAGTTGGAGTAAGAATTAAGATAGCTGAATCTCAGTGCCAAACACACTACTATCTATGTGACAGTGGGTAAGGCTTTTCCAATTTCACAAAGCATTTCATGGTAAAAACATTCTAAGTTGAGAATGTGGGATACAACTGATTTCACTCTGGCTCAGTAGCCATAACATTTTAAATTAAAAACTACAGATTCTAATGTTGGGAAAGAATTATATATGCTAAACTCCTGTAGGAAAAGTATGCAGCGAGTCATAATGATGTCTAATTATGGAAGACTTGGATGTCCCAGCCATCTGCCTGACTCTCAAGAAATCCTTAAAAACAATCCTTTCCAATGGGTGGCCATGGCAACCATTCTGAGTCTCTGACTTCTAAGCTTATTCTCTTAATAAGGTCGTTGTTGTCTGGATTAGTCCAGGGGGCGCAGACCCCCAGTATCTGTGTCTGGCTGCATTGGGTATACAGGGCAGCACTGTTAGCTTAGAAGAGTCGAAAGAGGATTCCTCTAGAATAAGCCTTAAGAGTCTCCAAAGTACAAAAATATTCATTAATAGGAATAGTGTCCCCAACATATTCCTCAGCTTTCCCTGGACATCTCCCACCACCCTCTCATACACACATACATCCATTCCTTAGATGTAATAACTATAATAAGGGCTACAAGCTGGGGCATTATAGAACTACTCTTCTTTTCTTAGATTTTTAAATATTTTTCCCCAACCACAATATGTTTATTTGTCTTGTGCCCAGTATTTATTCTTTTGTCTTCTCCATTTCCATTGTCCATCTTCCTACTCCTTTGAGAGAAGAAATCCATTTGCCTATTCTTTTTTCTTTGCCTTTCCTTTAAATGTATACCCTCTAGTATTGCCTATTTGAAATTACTTATTCAAGCTTCCTTGTCAGTTTTCAGGGAGGCATGAACAAGCCACAGAAGAAGAAAACTATTTAGTAGCCCTAAGGCAATAGAGGCCTCTAAAACCACTGCTTTTCTGGTTAAACCAGACAAACACAGACTAGTGACGTAAGAATTTTTGTTAGATGATTGAAAGTTCACTGATTGATTTCTAACCTGTATCCAGATAATAATTCAGATCTATGGTTTATTTGAAACTTTTTTCTTGTCCCCTTTTTTTATATGTCCATATCTACCTCTTGCTTCACACTTAAATTGTCATTGAACTTTAAAAAATTATTCTAAAATATTTTGATATTTGGTAGCACTAGTTGTCCCTCCAGTCTGCTAGTAAAGTCAGAACTCGGTCCTAAACCCATGTCTCTATATCTGTTTGTGAATTTGTAATACGTAAGAACTTTGCCATAATACTTGCCTGAGGAACTCTGAGGTTTAGACACTGAATCTTTAACAGTGTCTCATATCTCCTTACTAAAGAACTGATAAGTACCTTTATTTAGAGTGGTGGTGTGTCCAGAGTTGGTTCCTTCTTATGGGTTCTTGGTCTCACTGACTTCAAGAATGAAGCTGCGGACCTTCCTGGTGAGTGTTACAGCTCTTAAAGGTGGCATGGACCCAAAGAGTGAGCAGCAGCGATTTATTGTGAAGAGTGAAAGAACAAAGCTTCCACAGCATGGAAGGGGACCTGAGCAGGTTGCCGCTGCTGGCTGGGGTGGCCAGCTTTTATTCCCTTATTTGTCCCCGCCCATGTCCTGCTGATTGGTCCATTTTACAGAGTGCTGATTGATGTGTTTACAATCCTTTAACTAGACACAGAGTGCTGATTGGTGCATTTTTACAGAGTGTTGATTGGTGCATTTATAATCCTTTAGCTAGACACAGAGCGCTGATTGGGGCATTTTTATAGAGTGCTGATTGGTGCATTTACAATCCTCTAGCTAGACACAGAGCATTGATTGGTGCGTTTACAGTGCTCTAGCTAGACAGAAAAGTTATCCAAGTCCCCACTTGAACCAGGAAGTCCAGCTGGCTTCATCTCTCAGTGGCAGGAATAATTTTTGTCCTGTCCTGGCTCTTTTTCTATGGGTATCTCAGAGAATGGTGGAGTTAAGAGAGGACTCCTTTTTACTTTAAATTCCCCAGGGCAAACCCCAGATGGATTTTCCTTCTTGCTTGTTTATGCCAGGAAGAACACTGCAGTTTAGTCTGTTTACTGGAATATGCAGCGTGCAGTAGAGCTTTGTTTGTCTATGCACTGTAATGATGGGATTGTGAGGCCCTCATCAAACTTGTTTCCATTTTATTCCTTTAAAAAATGTTTCCCTTTCCATCATCCTGTCTTGACTCCTAATAGTTTTATTTATTGGCATGTGTAAGTTTTGCCTGGGAATATCTACACATTACCTGGGAAGTATAAAATCTCCAGTGTGGCAGGTTTATCCCTTTATCCCTCTAAGTCACTAGCTGGTAATTTTTCTTTTTATTCATATACATTTTACCAGGGATTATGGAGTCTCTTTCACCCTGGCAGTGAATCACTATATCTGGCTTACCATTTTCTAAACTTGGGATGCTCATTATTACTAAGGTTTTCCTGATGTTCTTCCTCTTCAGGTGGGCTGATATTCAGCCAGTTGACATTAATAAGATTGAACTCTTTTTTTACAGTGAGATTCAGTTGTTACTTGTCTGTGCTTCTACCTTGGGGAAGTCATTGAATATTTTGATTATCTATGAAATGTCTAAGATTCCTTGCTTTACCAATGTCCGTGGCC